GATTCTGCCCATAAGGTTTTATACCTCAATCGTCCTTTAAGTGGGTGACGATTGTAAGGAACTGTCACATTCTAAGTGGTTAGTTACCACATTCAGGTACAAGGTAATAAAAAAATAAAAAAATTTAAAAATTTAAAAAAAAAAAAAAAAAGAGAACTTTTCAGCAATCCAATAAAACCAGGAGTGATGGAAGAAAAACATTTTATTCATTGTAATTGAAACCATAAAACTTGCCATTTAAGAAACATTAATGGAGTTTATTTATTTTTAAAAAATTGCGTCTCTTAGATGTCGTCCTCTTGTACGAAATTCTTGAAATCTACTGTTGAGATTCCTCATTGACCGCTGCAACATCTCAGCTGGGATTTTCATCCTTAATTCTTTGTTTTAACTCATCCAGAGTACTTGGTCGAGTCATATACATTTCACTCTTGAGATAGCCAAGAAAAATCACAAACGGACAAATTTGGCGATCTAGGGGCCAGGAAATGTTACCGAATCTTGAGATCACACGGTTACCGAACAATTCTCGCACAGCTTTCATTGATTTCAGTGCAGTGTGTGATGTCGCTCAATTCTGTTGAAATCAAGTTTCTTGAACGTGTGGAAAATTGTTCAGCTCAGGTGGAACAAAAGATTGTAGCATCTCCACGTAACGACCCGCATTGATAGTTACAGTATCCCCAGCTCATTTAAAAAAAAAATAAGGTTCGATGATCCCATGTAATAAAACAGCACACCGTACTGTCACCTTACTACCGTGTAAAGGGCGCTCAGAAACTTTATTAGGATTTGTGTCTGTTGCCCGTTCCACTGATCTGTGATTAAAATGGCAAGACTTTTACTTGCTCAAGGTCACTGTTCCGCAGTACTGCCATCTGCTCATAGCTGCCATTATACATTTCAAAAATTTTCGTTATTCAATCTCACCCTGTAGATGTTGGAAGATCAATGATTCAGAATTCCGAAGTTTTTTAATTTAGATATGGATTTGTTAGATTACGGTGAAACATATTAGGGCTATCTACCTAAGGGAAAGGATAACTTCGTGGAGGATTTTTAAGAAAAATTGCATCGTATTCAGGTCATACATAGATGTTTACATTACAGAAACACATAAAGTAAGTGAAAACTATCTGCCGAAGAGAAAGGGTGCCTTCGTGGAAGATTTTCAAAGGGATATTTTCCTCGCAATCAAGTTACACATGGAGAAAATCAGGAAAAATACCGATGCAGCCAGCCAGTTCCCCTGTGTTCAAATCAGGGTCGAACTAACAATATTCAGCGGTCTCAGTCTCTCGGTCAGTGGTTGGGGCTTTTTTATATATAGAAAAAAAAATATAAACGCCCATGCAACTAGCCCATTGTCGGGATTTGAACCTCGTGGGCCCTTTGGTTTTGAAATAAAAAATCCGTTAAAAATGCATATTACGTTAAAAAGAGCATACACGGTTTTTCTGCTTTGATATTATTTGCAAGAAATGAAATATTAATCCACAATGGCTAGAGAAGCACTTTAATATTGAAGGAAAAAGCAGAATTTCAGATATTTGTTTGCCCTTTGAATGTAAATTTATACTATTCTCCGTTTCAAAAAATAAGCAACAAAGGCAAAATACGAAATAAAACAAAAAGTATTTAATAGATATGCGTGACATTAATCCAAGAGGTTGCGGTGTTACTGGACCACATAGCAAACAGTAAAGCAAAGATATGCAAAAATACTATATTAAGAACATCACATCGCGAAAACCCAAGTGGGTTGGAAGAATGTGCAATGGAAACAACATGTTAATATCGGGTATGATACTCTGTAGCTGAAATGCATGCTTGACCATGGCGAGGAAAGATGGCAATAGTTTTGTTTATCACATGTTGGGACATTAGCGTTTATTCCTGTAGCTATACATGTCGAAGCTCGTGTGAGGTATCTGGCGGCAAACTGCGACCTGCTATCCGTCGTGCCAACATGTTTCACACACGCTTTATGGAATTCAGGTCCGGTGATCTAGCAAGCCACTTATAGATGGGGAATGGTTTCACGCTCCAGATAACTCCGTAACTCTCAACTTCGGTGCGGGTGGGTGTTATCGTCCATAAACTTCGCATCAGTACCCATTGAAGCGATAAAAGTACGCAAAAGGTGTGCAGAATTTCGCGCAAGGTGTGTGCCGAAACCATTAGGAATCACGTAGATGTGGGTGCTGTCGTTCTTTTTTATACCAGCCCATACAAGTGAGCCTTTTTCTCATCTGCAAGTCATTTTCGACGATGTTTGGTGCTCGATAGCGTGTTCCTGGCTCTCGCCATATCATTGCCCTTTAGGAATCGTTCTGGATGTTAAATCGAGACTCATCTGTAAAGAGTGCGTGTTCCCACTGCTCTTGTGTCCAACTGCGATGTTCACGGACTTAGTTCAACCACGCTGACATGCGATGGGAACAAAGAAACACAAGCGACAGGTCGTCGGACGTACAGTTCACCTCCACGCAGACGACGCGACACAGTTTGGCGGGATATGGGCTGTCCTGCAGAAGCAGCTGTCGTGCCGTTAGTGATCTACGGCGACTTGGTCACAGCAACATCAAGTGATCGTCTGCCAATGTAGTAATCTTCCGGCGTCCAGACTCACGCCTTCTACAGCGGTTTTGATCCCTTTGATAACGATTCCACAACCTTTTGATAACACTATGATGCCCATTCTGCTCTCTTACAATAGCGGATTGTTTAGCACCAGCTTGCAACATCCCCAAAGTATTCCAACGTATTTCATCGTGCAAATAGCATTTTCGACTCACGTTCCCCACTTTGGCAAGCGCGGATTAGGCGGAACTATCGCTACTTGAAACTGACGCATTGGTCTGGCATGCCAAGTCGTTATGGTGTGACTTCGGGATTGCGTTTTATGCTGATTTTGCTACTATTTGCATTCGGCAACGTAACTTCTACCTCATATTTAAATTCCACGTTTTGATCCTCCTTTTTACATTCGTTGCTTTCTTTAAGCGTTTGTTGCTTATTTTTTGAGCATGAGTGTAATTTTAACAAATTTTTATAACATGTAAACAAATTTTTATAACATGTAAATCTAAAGTCAGTAAAGGGAATATTATACAATCCCAAGTATTTTTTGATAAAATACAGCAATGAAATATGTGAAATGACTTTGGATATTGAGTCACATCAACATAGAACTCAATGTAAGATCTACACTGGATCTTAGCCAGCCTTCTTTCTTGATCGCGAATGCATGTGCGTAAAATTCCAGAAGTTGGTCGGTATACATTTCTCTGGCACATGAAAAGAGCTCCTTACTACTCGCAAATGTTTGTTTTCTCAGATAATCTTTCAAACGCTCAAACAAATAAAAGTCTGAAGAACAAGATCTGGGCTACAAAGAACCTGAGGCAGTATCGTCCATCCTAGTTTTGCAATTTTTTCTTTGTCATGTATTGTGAAAGATCTGGCATTGTCCCGGTGCCTTTAATGTTGGTAGTTCGTAATTCTGCTCTCTTGGTTGCACTCGTAAGCCTGTTAAATAATGTTCTCTCTTTATTAAGTGGCTTCATGCTTCCGAAAATTGATGAAATAGCTCCATTCTTCTGATCCAGAAGAAAGTGACATTATTTTGTTGCATGATCTAGAGATTCATGACTTCTTTCGAGAATCTTGATGTCTTCATACCATTGACTCTCATTTGTTAAGAAATAACTATGTTTTATCTTCAATTATAGCATCACATAAGCATTTTTTGTCCATCACCAAAACGTTCAAGAAGATTTCCTCGCGTATATCCTTCTTTATATGCGCTATCTTCGGGAAACCCAAGGAACACACATTCTTGCTGAAGTCACCACTCTAAAGGCTGAGAAAACCGCCTTTGCACATTACAAGGCTCCATTACGGTACTACTACGTGATTTATCTCCAGATTTAAAAAGAAACCCAATTGTCGACCCACCTGTCGTCAACTGGTGATCGAAGTTCTGGAATTTCACCTCTCCTTTTGACGCTCTATGTTGTTGTTCTGGCTAATCTCGCTTCTCTCGAACTAATCATAAGAAGCCCACGAAATTTATTGCGGTAAGGAGTACAAGATTACGTCTGTCGACGACAAAAGCCTTGGGCATCATATGGGTGATAGTACGACCATTTCTACGGTAATTTTGAGGAAGAGCACTCCTACGGGCAGCCCGACTAACCCTAAGTTTTCCCAAACTACACGACGGGACTTTCGGCTAGTCATATATTTAGAGCGCCTCCATACAACAAGGACACTGTTCATTTATAGTATCCATACCTTCTCCGGCATTAGATTCCCAGCCCTTCGTTATGGTGGTCATATTCACTAACCACTATCCTGTTGGGAGGCATTATGACGTTCTTGTAAAGAGAAAATCAACACTTTAGTGGTAACTTGTTCAGTTAAAATCAAACATAATTTCATTGCTGTGTCCTGCCAAACAAAAACGTTATATTAGATTGTGTTACGTAAACTTAGACTGATTTTTGTATTGAAAAACATACTTTCCACAAGATATTTTTCTAAATCTAACCTGAAAATAAAATACAGTACGAAACTATAGCGAATTTATCATTTCATCTGCTGATAGATTTACTTGAAATTGCTTACCTTCATTTTAAGTTATAAGAAAGAAAGAACTTCAGTTATAGTCTTCTGAAAGTTAATAAAGAAATGCCATAATGAGCTCTGCTTTAAAAAATGCAGCTGCACCACAGCACAAAATAAACAAATTATTACTTTCTTTCTAATTATTTTAATTATTTCCTATTTAATTAGTTCCTTTAAATAAAAGAATTGTCGGGTTCAAATCTCATTAAACTGATGATTTTTCTAAATTGGGAAAACATACAGCCTGCAGCTGGTAATATCCTAGCATCTGTGGCTTTATTTTGTTTGCTATAAACACAGGTCCTTAACAGATTTCGCTCATATATATAAGTATGTATATTTACCGGCAAAACCTAGGATTTATCAGACTTCGATCTTTTTCAATAACATATACACTGACACTCAAGTTGTTCAAACACAATGCAGTTAATATCTATGGCGAAATATATAACCATTTTTATTTTACTGAAAATATGTTTGGCCCAGGTAAGTAAACTTTTTAATAATATATTTGAAGTAAGATTTATAATATTTAAATTTCAGTAGATTTTTTACGACTGAAAGCTATGAATTGTTTGAAAACATCATACTTAAAGACTATATGCTAAAACAAATGTATTTACATGTCATAATTACCATTAGACATCGTTTTTAAACATATGCCTTTTCAGCGATCCCTTGAAAGTCGAATAAACGGTCCTTCACTGTAGTGAAATGTTTCACTGTAGTGTTTCGCCAATAGTATTCGTTAACAACTCTTGACAAATGCTTAAAAGACAGATGACCTAATACTGGAAAACAAACGTTCGGTTCATTTAGTAATTTTTCCGTACGGGGTTGAAGGAGGGAATAAGTTTTCTCCTATTTCCCCCCAAATTAAACATTAATCAGTAAACTATTCTCCTTTTTTTAACATAATGAAGTACATAATTGAGTTTTGATACATCAGGGCAAGTGAAGGTCTGCCTATTTGCCTAAAATAAGCCATCCCTGAATACTAACGATAACCGATTAACATTTGCTTTACACGTGAGGCAACTATGTAAGTACTCGTTAGCCTTTCCTACCCCTGAAATTAGGTGTTATATTTTTGACTACGCAAATTTCATATTCTTGAAAAATAGAATTGCTGCCTTTTAACTTTTAGGAAATATTTATTCAAACTACATCAGCAAGCAATCCGGGGGAAAAAGTGCACAGCTTCTTGGATAATTAAGTCTTTTCCTTATTAATTAAATGATAAAATCTTCATATGATTTAATTTGTGATATTAAGGTTTAAGCGTTGTTGCCATGGGAATTTATTTATCCAGTAGCTCCAAAAATATTCGACAGTAAAAAGCTACTACTGTTGGAGATTGCTGTTGGAACTGTGTTTGCCACCAGGTAACACCCAGTTCCGCTGTTGTCAGATTTGATCCTGGGTCCTCTGCGGCCAGTAGAATAACGCTTCGAGCGTTCAAGTTTAATACATGTTTCAGTCGCAGATGCTGAAATATTTACGGGAAGCTTTTTAAGGGTAGCGAAATCACTACAATGGAATAATACCATCAAAACTCTTACCCGCCCCTTTCCTTCGAATTGGCATTGATATTTCGAATAACCCATTTTAAATACTTGGTTCTGTATGTCTTGCAATGACCTATAGAATGTGCTTGGCTTAAAACTGCTACAGGTATTAAACTGTATGTCTGAATATGAAAATCAAATTGCTTTTCTTGTTCTTTTTTCCTTGGGGGAGGGGAGGAAGAAGGATCGATTGGAACGAAACATCGGAAGAATAATCCTGGATTTCAGAATTTTAAATACCCATCTAGTGACAGGCTTCATTAAAAATGGCAAGAAATGCCGCTGAAGATTTTCTGTTCATTAAAATATAATTATAACAAACTTTAAATTACGTTTTGTTTTCCTCGATAGCTAACAAACAGAAAAAAGTCTGAGAAAAATTAAGAGCCGTAGTATCCAAAGGTAGAAAGCATGAGAAAAACTGAGATCCGTATTTTCAAATACAGAAAATCAAATTCGTAGTTTTTGAGATTTATATTTCTGCACTATTCACTTAACTTACTTAATAAAAAGTATTAAATATTTCTCTCACAAGGTAATAGGTTATGATTAACAAATAACCAGTGTAATCTCATGTACTGTTTTTAAAGTCGTTGCGGTGATTAACTTAATTAATTAAAATAGTAATATTTTCGGTTTGTTTCAGACTGCAAGTATATCTGATGTGACTATAACCAAAAAAGAATGTGGTGAGTCTAATTATTATTTAAATTCAAACTATATTAGATTATTTGTGTTAAAGCACACGAAGATTATCTGCGTTAAGTGGAGGAGCACTTTTGTGGAGGATTGTTTACGCTGTTATTGCTAAATAATACTTTAGTGTGGCATTCATTTGACATATGTTTAAGCATTTTAAATTAAATGCGAATAATTTTCTCTAACTTTTTATATTGGTAAATAATGAAGAAACGCGCATTATATACGCAATATATCAATTGTGCAAGTAAGTTGCTCAGTATCAATTTTATCCTCTTAATCATAGAATACAATGTGTCTAAAATTATTTCTTATTTTACAATTTGCTTCGTTGATCAAAATCAACAGACCTTATTTGCACCATAAGTGTTTTGCATGCAGATGTCTTGTATTCATTCATTTGCGGACTCTAGAGCAATTTCAGAGACACGCTGTGCCACATAGCTTAGCTAGAATGTTGATGAGAATGAAACGAATATTAAAGTTAAGCTAATTAAACGATATCTTAGTCTCAAAGAAATCTTTTAAAGCAATGCAAAAGGTGCCCATTCTCATTGACCTTTCTTATGATTACTGGACAAGAAAGCCAGTAATTATAAAAATTGAGAATTATGCATCAATATCATAAATTTGATTTAGCATCTGCCTTTTGAGCCATTTTAAATATTTGAAAAATATTTTTGCAGGTTTGATTAAGTGTTTTATGCTGTTGCTGCTGTATCTAACTTGTCTATTGTAACATCAGAACAGGCCCGCGAAACTCATCGTGGAAAGGAGTACAAGATTGCGCCTGTCGTTGGCAACAGCCTTGAGCACCATACAGGCGACATTACGACTTTGCTCAGTTCCGCTCCTAATTTTGATGGAACGCATCCCGGGGAAACGGGTCATAGGGTCTCCCACCAGCTCTTTCTTTACCAACAACCTCTCGAGAGAACTTTTGCTCGCAGCGTGCCCCTATGCCGCACAGACACTATACGTTTATAAACATCCATTATTTCGAACCTGGTCCCTTCGGTACAACGGTCAGCGTCGCTTACCACTATCCGCTTTGGACGGCACTAAACGTTTTATTCCTGTCTTAATGTTTCTTCCTTCCTTTCTTTAATTACTCTATTAAAAGAATATCATTGAGATTTTTCATTAGTTTTTTTTTTAATTGATCGTCCGGAAAGATAGCGAAGTGCATCTATATAGTCATTATTTTCACTTTATTTATGCCAATTTGAAAGAACAGATAAATAATATAGGAAGATAATTTTGATAATAACATATTATCATACTTAAGAAAAATGCCAAATTAGGTTCTGTTATTTTGGAAACTTTCTAAGATTTTTCAAATTGTACGTTTCAAACATTTCAAATAAGTCAACTGAATTTGCAAAGATACTTAATCATTCATATTTTAGAATGTTGTATTCATACTATATTGAAAGTCACGCAATTTTCCTTTTTCAGCTTGTGGAAAGATTAAAGGGAACTCGGTATATAAATACAAGTGGATGGTAAACAATTTATTATTCTAAAATTCTCCTCAGTGTTTTGTAAAGCATGTTTGATGTATGTATAATACTATATTTTGTACTATTTTATCAAATATGCAAAATACTTTATTTCTTAGATGCATTATACTTTAAAGTAGGAAATAAAGTCCTTTGCCTTTTTATATAAAGCGCCGGGTTAACCATTAGACAAATCAGACATATGTCTAGGGTCCGTAATTCGAAAAGACCTCGCTTCAGTTAAAAATATTTAAAACCAGCATATTTTTAGAATTTCCGATAGACACTCTCGCGCGCTGGAGATAAAAATATTTTATTTCGTACAATGTGTTTCCACTGTTCGATTTGAAATCGTTGAGTTTCGAAGGTTAAAAAATCTGAAATAGTTAATAAGACAAATTCAAAATTCAAGATTCGGGCTTCCAGGTACTCATTTTCGGGTGGAGGACTAAGTTATTCAAAATTTGATTGCTCAAGGTTTCTTTTTTTCATACTTCGAGATGCATACATACATTCATGCTGATTCTTCATTATTCAAGTTCCTTAAATATAATACAGAGGGATAATATTTGCCGACAACAATTCGAAAAGTGATACAGCCATTTATAGCGATTCGAAGCAAAATGCCGCTTCGAGACTAATAGCCCTTCTGGCTGACGCCTCTTTGGACTAAAACATAAGTAAAATTTAAAATATAAAATATTTGTGTTGTTATTTTTTTAATACAAATGAGTGTTATCATAATAGTTCATGAATTAATGAAATCGAATTTGGTCCTGCATACTCTAAACTACAAATATGCATACACTGAGAATAAACATTAACTGTTCACCCGTTTCAACTGCAGTTGCTTTTGTAACATGTATTATAAGCTATCAGCATTAGTGAGGATTTCAAACAGTCAAAAAAAAAAGGGGGGGGAGAAGAAAAGTTAAAACGGTAATGTGAGCACTTTGCAGGAAAATAGTAAATGATGAAGGATGTAGCCTTATCAGCATCAGTAACTGGATAGAAAAAAGGGAAAGATCTGGGTGTATAACTGAAGAGAAAGTAGGAAAATAAGAACACAAAAATGAAGACAAATAGCACAATGAATTGTTAAAGCATAAAGCGCAAGAAATGAGAACGATACGAAATATATCAATGAAGAAACAGAAGAAAATTTAGATCACCATATGACAGAAGGAAAGAAGAAAAGAAAAGTGAAGATAAAGGAAACTGCTTGAAAAATTCACAAAATTATGTTTTATCTATGTGATAAACACGTTTTTATTTCTGTCATGAAATATTTCATAATTAAAAAAAAAAAACAATTGCAAACACGTAGTTAGTAAATCCATATGAAAAGAAACTGTTACAGATGTTGAAAGTATAATTGCTGTATCATTAAAAATATACATATGTTTTTATCGTACAAGAGCAAAAGGTTAGACAACTGAAAGAGAATGATTAATATACAGTAATAAGATATAAAGTTTGGTAATTTCTTTGTTATTAATGAACTGAAACCGTAGTATAGCTAGACTGACAGCGAATTATCGCTGTAAAAGACCCTTTACCTGAAATTAAGTGGAATAAAAGGCACACCTGGCCTTACAACTAAGCAAGTACTTAAGGCGAGATAACTTAAAAACAGTCAAATGTACTTTAGTTTTAATGTGAAATTTGACATTGTTTTACTTGATTAAAGCTTCAATATGCGGTTAAATCTGTGTTGTTGCAATTCGTAAAGTTTCCTTCAAGTGTTTGTCTGTCAGCCTTGTTCTTGGTTTTGATTTTAGGATTTTCATTTTACAAAAAAGTTGCTCACATATGTAGGTACTGTCAAAGATAGAAGGCATGTTTACGAATTCCTGGATACTTGTCTTCGGTCACATACTTCGAATAAAAATCAATTAATGTAGGATTTTCAAGAAACTTGCATTTTACTGCATAGTTACACTGTAAATCTATAAATTCTAATTGAAGTTGAGTTGGAACAATATTACATAAGATAAATCACAAAAGAAAAAGTGAAATTTTCGAAAAATTTGTCATTTACAGAAAATGTTATCTCAAATATCAGGCATGTCAAATAAATATCAAGAATAAGAGAAAAAAAAAATTACGACAAAGAGCTGACAAGACAATTTTTCTTGAAATCAAATTTCTTAAAATTCTTCAAATTCAAATGTGGGGCCACCAAAATACCTTCAGCGGGCCATGGGTTGAAGACCCCTAGCTTAAAGCATAATAATTGGTTAAAATAAAATAAAAAACCCAACAAAGAGAAAATTAATTTACCGCTATATAACATTTTCTCCCATTAAAATATCTGAAGGCTAAGAAGATTGCAAAAATTTTAAAGTAAGGGTCGAATAACATGAATGTTCAATTCACTAAAAGAATTCTGTAATAAAACTCGTAGAAAGAAATTCTATACACGGTTATCTTGATATAAGCATCGAAACTCTTTATTTGGAAGAACCGATATTTGAGAAAGTGTTTCAAGAATTAAATTACAAAAATTTAGCAAATATTTCCTTGAATTTCCGGCGATAATGAATGTTTCACGTCATCAACTGGATCCAGTGTAAAACGTATGGAGTTCGGAAATTTCTAGTCGAATATCGTGAATTGTTAACTCCTCATACAAAAATATCTGATGTAGACACCACATGACTTACCTGTGCGGCCTATTAAATTATACGTATTTTTTGCTGCATTTCCTTTAAACCTATTTCCTCGAATTTCATTAAAGATATATTTCTGGTTCAATTAATTCAGTTCTCAGTTCGCAACAAGGCAAAAATACATAAATATTCAAAACATCTTCATTACAAATTTTAAAATACAGAAAAACCTAAAACACCAAATACAGTTAAAAATAGTTTAAAAAGCAATTTGTACAATTAAAATTAGAATTTCTGCGCAAAAACAAGCAATTCGGCCAGTGGGCAAGAAGTCAAGTTTTTCGATGCACAAAAATGAAACGTAAATTTTAGTCCCGCTAGGAAAAAAAGACATTGAAGTTGGACTTAATGCACTATACTGTTAAGAGTTTCAAATGTTAACAAGTGGCGGTCTTAGGCTTAGTGCTACTTAAACAACTTTTGAATTGTAGATGATTCTGTAACTATTGCATGCAGGAAAATGAACAGCAGTGATTTTTATCTTTTTGATTAGGTAGCCTTAATGAAGCAAAATCAGAAAGTATGTACCGGATTTTTGATATCGCCAGAGTATGTCCTTACAGCTGCGCATTGTATAAACGGGTAAGTAAATTGGGGATTAGTTTTATTAAACTACCTTTTTACATTAGGTGCTACATTTTATGCTATGGTTAGAAAGAGAATCCTATTTCATATTTCAGTTTATTTATATAAATTTTTCTAAGTTTATTTGTTTGCCTGTTTTATTATGATTAACTCTAAGACAATGAAAAAGAACATTGCTAACATTAAAAACTACGTCAGATTTTAAAACACCAGAAGGAAACCAAAAATTTCGGTCTAAACGAGCCGTCGTAAAGCCAGCTACAAAAGTAGAATTCCAAACTGGGCATTTCACTGGTCAATTAAAAATGTTGCTGAAATACTTTTAGCATACAGTTTAACTAATCACAATGCTGACAGATCTCTTGATGATATGATCAGTTTTTACCTGGCGTCAAAATCAAGCTATTGATTGAAAATGTTAATTTAATTACGCAAGAAAAATTATTGGAAATATTGAGGATATTGTGAGGTTGTGTGAGTTTGACACCAGCCTTAGATGTATTTTTAGCAGCAAGCTTGTAAAATTCCAAGTGATTATGAGTGACACTTCTGGGTTTCACATTTCTAACAAAGAACTTCAGAATGCTCATGTTAAAAACTGTGTCTGTACTGTGAAATAACTCTCTTGTATTTATTCTCTTCTACACGTCACTGATGGATTTCATTTTGACATTTAGTTTAAATTTTATACTTAGTTTTATTTAATTTTATTTACTTAATGCCGTTTGGCCGCTAATAATTATTGTTAGTTTTTTTCTTTGGAAGTGGCAACAAAAGAACTTACAGAATTAGGCAAACTATTTGCGCGTAAGTAGACTTGTTAAAAAGAGAGTTTGATTTTTACATGATTGCTGTCTTTTAGTATTATCACGAGTAAAAATTGTTATAAGGAGTATATATAAAGCAATAGAAAATTTTCTTTCTTTTTTTTAAGTTATTTATTTTCTTAAACGTTGTGCCAATATTGTAGACTTACTGCATATTCCCCATTCTTCAGATACTTCAGGTGATTGCTTTCGTATTTATAACAGTAATGAAATGCTCTATCTTTAATCTCTGAACCTAAATCTTTTATTATATATTTCAGGACAGAAACTATTGGTTTGCCAACTAGAAAACGCATGAAGATTGTCGGAATCTCTGAAATGTTCACGCATCCGAATGATACTTCTGGCAATAAGAGTTATGATATTGCTATTATAAAGCTTCAAAAGAAACTATCCTGCACTCAATACACTCCCATCTGCCTTCCGAACATCTGTGGCATGGACAGCGATAACACGTCAACTGTAATCGCCACCTGGAGATCTAGGAATTCGACAAAAAGTTAGTTTTATATTTTTTATTAAATTAAGTATTTTTGCAAAATATTGAAAATAAACTGTTAGTTGTGTTCTGTGCAGTACAGAATTTTCTATATATCTATCAAATTTTCTGAAAATTAAGAAAATTTGGGACACTAAGATTATGAAAACAATACTGTAAGAATTTAACAATATGTTTAGTGGTTAATATGAAAACTAACTGCGCATTTATGATACAGTTGGAAACGAATGAGCAAAAATTATTCAAATGAGTAAAATGTTTTTAGAGTAATATTTTTGATGTGAAACATAATTTTACAGAGGTTAGTGACATGGATCGTCGAAGCTGAAAGAAAGATCGGGATTTATTAGATTATAAGCTCATTACGATTATTTATCTCAGGGAAGAGATGCCTTCTTGTGGGAATAAAATCTTCCATGAAGAGCTTAGAAAATGGAAACTGTCTAGTATTTATGTCAAGCATGAGTCAATATAACGTTATGTTAAACATATTGTAAATCACAGAAAGCCCATCGGGATTCCCTCCCATGTGAAACTACGAGTATTTAGCCATCTTATCCACATGGTCAATGCTAATATAAAGAATCGCAAGAAACTGAACTGTTATCCGAAACTAATCGCTTCTACATTAGCAGAGTATTCAAACAAATCGCGACGACACATTAAAGTGTTTCATATTCTTACTGTGCATTCCTCCATCGAAATTTTCGAATGAAAAATACTAATTTCACTACATTAGGATCACAATTATATAAATGAGATAGAGTATCTCACTGAAAGAGAAATACTTCAGAGTTTTATTTAAGTTACTGCTCAGAAAGGTAAAACAGAGAGGTGAAAAAACGGTCGCTTCGAGCTTTTCCAGTTTGAGCAAATACAGTCTCCAAAACGCAGTTTCAAATACTGTAATATTAGGCATTTTCTTCTTAATTGCTGTAAATGCTACTTAATGTGAAAGGAATTTTTTTTAATGCAAATCGATTAAGAAATCTTTAAGATCTAAAAATGACTACCCTGCGTTGGAAAACCTTGCTGTACTCTTTACAGAACAACAACTGGAGTAATGAAATAAACTTCTAGAATTTTACTGATTTTTTTGTTAGCAGAAAAATACGTAAAATCACACTTTAGAAAATTAGAACTAAAGTTTTATAACAAAAATAAACTCAAAGCTTTTATTTATTTTATTATATATCGCTTGGATATTTTTATAGTATTTTCTGTGTGCATTAAGAGGGATGACAAAGAGATCTCCCCAATTGTCAAAAGCTCTGGTTACTCCATTAGACTTTATGCAGTAGAACAGCAGCGTCTCAGTCTGCTGAGTTGAGTAAATGATGAATTCTCTGCTGAAATAAAGTGACTTAAAGTAATATGAAAAGTAAAATGGAAAACTAATCTATACCTTTTCCTTATATCACAAACTGAGCAATCGCATGAACAATGAATGTTAACTTTGAAAGGATTATATTGAATTACGTAGATACATTATGATGTCACAAAAAAGTAGTCTTATATACTTAAGAAAAAAAATTAATTTCTAATGTGGACTAGGTTTTAATCGCTTTACAAAATGGGATGAACAAGGAAATACACACATGATGTAGCATATACTGCAATTTCCATTAAATTAATTTAATAATATAAATTTCAGAGTAAACCGATGCCAAAATGACTAATAATATAGAAGTAAGAAAACCGATTGCCAGCTTTTGTGATATATCGGACGAAAATCATTCCTCTTGCTTGTAGAAAATGTCATATGTAACACTGGGACTCGGATCACGCTTTTAGACTAAACGCTTAAAATGTTCACCTAAGAAACAAAAGGTTCACGGTTCGATACTAGGCTTCCAGTTCTTATCGATACGTGACCTGGTTAGCAAGAAATAAAATTACAGGTCTTTCGATGGTAAGTTGACCAATTATAGCAAGTCACGCAAGGGATATCAACTTACACGAGAGATGCCTTCAAAATCTTCTAAAGGGAAACTGTACCCTTTGAAATGGTGAAAAAAACATGATTCAAACAAGGCACTTTAATAGAAAATCAGAATTAAACTAATTTTAACTTTTTAATGGTATAAGAACATTACTTCATTAAGTTTATTAACACTCAGAGAGATCCACGAGATCGCTAGAGTCTAGGAATCAGCCGCCTCTTCGAATCGTGATAAAAATCTGGCTGGTCCCAGATCGAGGTTTTCGTGGCTTTTAAATCCGCAAAGTGAATAAGAGACAATTTCATGTAAAAAGTTCTCCACAAAGATCTTACTTAATATACCTGCATTTACCGTATCTGAATAAACAAACAAACGATTAATATTTATGGAAAGTGCTTGGGAGGGGGCAACTAAACACCTATATCCTGACATTTTCGTCTGCACCTTTTTGAAAAGAAAAATTTTACTTCATTTTTAATTACAATAATGGAATAATCTAATGAAACAATCCAAAGATTAAATCTTTTTAAATCCAAAGAAACCACTTTCGTTTATTATAATCAAAAGCAGCGGAAAATGTAAAACCAAAATTCAAGCTTTTGGAAGTTCTCTTTTTATCAGTTTTTTAACGTTTTAATGTTGCATGTGTTTGGGGTTTTTGTAAATAATATTCATCCACATGATAACATACTCATGTTAAAATCCTTTAAAATTTCTTGGAAAATTAACACATGGCAATGTAGAACATTATCGAAAAGATGTGGGAGAAATAAATAACTTTCCTTTCATGTGATATATGTTTCAAGACTATTTCAATAATTTCAGTGGTAAAGATAATGTTTTTGAATTTCAACATTAGCCAGTTTTTAGAATTCTATAACAACTACAATATACGTGTTTTTCTGCAAACCTTTTGTAAAATTATAAACATGAAGGATAACCATGGCTGCAAAAAGCGTCTCAATGAAATGATTTCGTACTTTTATTCCTTCCCTTTCAGATTCACTTAACAACAGCCGACTGAATTTGGTCGACACTAATTTAGTAATAAACCACAAAACCTGCCCAGTTGAAGAACCAAAATATTCAAACAAGTTTTGTGCATCAGGTGACACGAAAGATGTTATATGTCCGGTAAGTTCGCAACCGAGTACCTATTTTAATATTAAATCTTTTTTCTAAAAAAATTGGAATAAATTTCATATTGAGTGCTTTATTTTATGTACTATGCTTCTTTGCATGATATATGTGTATATTATGGAAAAAAAATACTCTGTTGGCCACTCAAGTGCAATACCAGGAAGGAAGCTTTCAATAAGCTTGAACGTTATTCAATAATACCAAGATATCGATAGGATATGCTAATGATTAGAATTGCAGCTTATATGAAAATCACGTACGCCAGCAATACCATGAGAGGCCTGTTAACAGAATGAAAAACAGATTCTTTAAATGTTCGAATGGTGTTTATTTCAACTGTTCATTTACTTGAGAAACTTCAGTCTACCTCGTCGGAAAAAAAGCCGTATCATTCCAACAAGTTTTCTTCAGAATGAATTGTGGCATACAGGGTATCTTTTTTAGAGGAATCCCAACAGCTTATAGGAAATGCTCGGAGGAATTAAAGTCAGGGGTGGATATTTGGCGATGTATGGTCTGGTGCCGGTTAATACACAAATCCTCGAAATTTTTGTCATGATTCATGGGGAAAGATTCGAATAACTCATCTCTAAATTTCACTGTTTTTCAACCTTCTGCATATTTTACACTTAGCTGTTCTGCTAAAAAGTATAGAATTAAATGAGAATTAATAATTATTTTTTTCTTTGCAGGGAGATTCCGGTTCTCCGCTTTTTTTAAAGAAGCGGAAGATATGGTATGCAGTTGGAGTTTTATCCTATGTAGTAATCAACACGGTTAGTTCTTGTAGTCAACACGGTTACTTTGTCCGAATCGTAACGTCCTTAGATTGGGTTTCAAAAGTAACAAAAATACCAGTGCAAAGTTTGAAATGCTAGAGAAATTTGCAACTTTTCTCCACATTAAATACTAATAAAAGAATATGTGTTTATACCAATAAAATAGTGTTTTTTATTCTCTATTTATTTTTCGAAGTCATTTTTTGAATCTGTTCCTTTGTGTGACGGCAAATACTACAGTCAAATTCTGATTAACCGGGGCGGATTAATTGGGCCTTGTTTTTAAAGAAAAGTTTAAACCTGTTTATTTGTCGCCCCTTGTGTAAAATTACTTTCACTGACCGCGAGTGTTTCACTGACGAAACCACCTATGAAATGTGCAAACAGGAAAAAAAAAAAAAAAAAAAGAGTGCGTGAGAAAATAAAAATGGTAACAGAAAATGTTAGAATAGTACTTGAGACTTGTTTTTGTACACATTAGTACGAAATTTAATTTAAAGTAATGCGGAATATATAAATATTGTTAAATTAGCTATTAAAATAAATTTTTCAGCCTTGAAAATAATCAACTGTACAGCTTTTAGCCTTCTATTTCACCTTGATTATTAACGAAATCCAAGATTAATATAAACGAAAACAAATAACAAATAACGCAACAAAATTAACTTATTCTCTATATTGAATTGCTTGAAAATACAAGAAAATTGTTCACAGTATTAGTAATTTTTTTTTTTTTTTTTTTTTTTTTTTTTTTTTAGTTTTTTAACTGCGATCAGATATTAACCGTGATTTTGAGTAAACCGTGGATATCGTCCTGAATATTACTTAGATAACTAGGGAGATGACTATGATTATTTTTCTTATTATTAATCTGTAACGAATTATAGAGAAAAATAATAAACACAACACAACATCACCTTACCTTAATACGTATAGAAACCATTAGAAATTAATAAAAAAAACAGTTCTTTCACTCAAATCGTGTATCAGCACTTACTTTATTGTGATGTTGAGCCTCACTCTCTACAATTTTGCTTAAATCTCTCGGGTGTACTCTCATGGATCCACTTTAATATTGCTTCTTTTATTAAGAAGAAAAATTTTGTCATCGACCGCCTTAAACAGTTCACCTTGGAAATCATACACAGCATACGAAAAAATGCCATCAAGAACTTCACTGATTGTAGCAAAATTGCTGACAATGCAAAGAATGGAATTTGTATTGAGAGCTCAAAAAGTGACTTTTTGGCAAGGTAACCCCGATTTCTGTTCGTTTTTCAGAAGCGAATTAATAGAAATTGACATGGAGCTTGAAGACATTCTAATCGAAAGCGAATTTTACGGTCTAAGGATCTTGATTGCCATAGTTCCCTACGACATCTTAGTAACTGGATCTCAGTGGGCGATAAAACCAATGTTTTCATTGCACCATGATGTTCATCTCCAATGGATTCCATCTCATGAAGGCGTTTACGACAATGAAATAGCGGATGAAACGGAAAGACAGGTTGTACTCATTTTACTCCTGTCTCCTCCAATCTTATTTTCTTGGAGCTTTTCTCTCTGAAGACGTCATAAAATATGGTGGAGTGTTTGGCGCAGCCGCCCCATCACTGGTATCTGGGTTGAAGACCCAGAATGGCGAACTACGCTTTCGAGACTAGTAATGCGGCCAGGAAAATCTTCGACGCCTACACCAAGTGCCGTGAACATCAGACTTCGTCTGAACACATCTTGAATTGTTTAGGCTTACCAAGAGAGGACATATTTTCCAATCCCCTTCTTACAACAACAGAAAAAAATAAAATTGTAAAAAATTATCTAACCTCACGGACCACACCAGTGTACCCTATTTGTTAAACAGTCCAATGACATAGACTACGCAAAAAAATGTTAAATTAATTAAGTTATGAACATTAATTTAGAAATCAAACAGCAAAAATCAGTGTTATATTTTCAAATTTTTACAGGACTAGTTTCGATGGTTTTACCGAACCATCATCCTCAGCTGCAAAAGCACAAATGAACGAGATAAGATATAATGATTAGATAAGATAAGAAAGCCTGGACAGGAGATAAGCTACTGGCGCCATCTGTTGAGGAAACCAGAACTAAAACATAATTTCTTTAAAGGCTAAAGGCAAAGATGAATTGGAATTAGGGTCGTTAACTAGAACAGAAAGATTTTTTTGAATGTGAAATGCCTCTAGAAAATCCAGTTACCAATGGAAGATGTTTTTTGAATAATTTTGGCAGCAGAAAAATTGAAAGTGTGATTTTCGGACCAACAATGTTGGGCAACAGAAGACGTTTGTGTTTACTTTTTTCTAACATATGCCTCATGTTCCTTAACGCGAAATTTTAAGGCTCTCTCTAACCATTATATCTTATCTCGTTCATTTGCGCTTTTGCAGCTGAGGATGATGGTTCGGTAAAACCATCGAAACTAGTGATGTGAAAATTTGAAAATATAAACCTGATTTCTGTTGTTTGACTTCCACATTAGTATTTGTTTGGCGTGTTATTGTATCTTAATTAAGTTATGAACGTCAACTGAAAATCAGACGGGGAGGGCACACTGCCAACTACCACACACACACACACAAAAAAAAAAAAGCATACAGCTAAAAATCTACCTGAATAACTTTTTTTTTATAATACGTTTAAAATTTGGACCACGACGTTTTCACCTTCTGTTGTTTTCGGCGGGCACCACATAAACGAGTTCTAAATATCAATTCTTAGAAGTTTCAGATTATATTATAAGACATTTTTTCACGAAAATCTGTTCAGAGCTTCAAGTAAAGTACCACTTCTGGATTAACATTTTTAGGCAAAATTTAATATGCTGTTGCCATTGATGAGTTCTAAATTTTGAAACAGAAAAGTTTTAGATTATATTCTAATACAGTTTTTCATTAAAACCTGCTAACGGCTTCAAGTAAATTGCCACTTTCGAATGTCCAGTTCTACCCAAAATCTAACCAACTGTTTATATAAATACACAAAGCTTAAATATGGAAAATAGAAATTTTTAGAAAATACGAGCTATCTTAGACGGAAAAATCGTCGCACACAAACGTATATATAGACGCACATCCATAATTACAAAAAATAGTAAAAATATGCTGTGTGGATCCTAATTCGTGCTTATTTATTGAAAACTCACTACCGAAAACTTTACCTCTCCTTACCTATGTATATGTTGGCGAGACGTGGAACGACGGGACAGAACTTTCCCTTATTCCACATTATAATTTACTGTTAAGTATAAATAATAAAACAATTATAAAAAATACCATTAACGTATAAATTTCCATTGAATAACATGTTATTAAAACATTGCTATTGATAACAAATGTGTTAACAATTTTCGTATACTTTAAAGCAGTTGAATTTGGAAAATAAATTCATTTAGATACATAAATTAAATCAGCATTTAAAACGAAAACAACACATTTTTTGCAGATTTTTATTTATCATTGCTCTTAACAAACGGGCTTTTCTTTTCCGTTTTGTATTTTTGGTTAAAAGTTTTGATTTGTTCTGATATGTGGTGATAGTATTTTTACTTGTTTCCGCAACAAGGAAACAATCAGTGCTCGGTTAATCCACCTGCAGTTAACTGAGAGTTGACTACATTTAAAAAAATATGATGTGGATACCACATGGCTCCCTTATATGGCCTATTAAATTATACTCATTTTTTGCTGCACTTCATTTAAACTTATTTCCTTAAATTATTCTAACTTAATTAACAGATTTCTCAAGTCGAAAAAGACACCAAAAACTGCAAAATTCTGAAATTAAATATCCCGGGTAATTTTTGGTCGTACGAGAGGACTTTATTCTTCTGATTTTATTTTTATATAACTAGTATAAACTTTCCAAAATATAAGAAAGGGAGACTGCACTAAAAGTTAGATTTTGCATTTGTCTAAAATTAAATACTTTTTTTAAATTTTACATTGCCAAAACATATTTTCGTCATGTAAAACGCTTCTGTAATTGCAAGTATATGACAACGATCAATGACTGCGAAAATAAATTCCACGCAAGAATATTTAAACCAGGTAAGAGATATAATCACTACTCCCCATTGCAATAGAAAAGAAAATTGCGCATCTAGATGTTATAGCAGATCCATATATAAAATTTAAACGCTCTAAGGCTAATTCTTTTAAGTTATGGATACATCCATACATACATTCCTACGTACGTACAGAGGTCACAAAAAATTTCCCATTAAATCCATTTCGAATCCAAGTTTTGGGGAAAAAAAAGTCCCTTATTCTATCTCTAAGTACAGACGTTAAGCAAATAAATCGTTCAAGTAGTTTCAGGAAAGTTCAAAACGGATAATTCTATTCAAATATGATGCCTGAAATTTTTCGCAATTATAATACTTCTTTTACAGGGAAGTAAAAACAATGCCTGTCGCAAATATTCCTGAAATCTATCGCACAGATAGACTCTTTTTATTGCCTTCGCTTTCATTTCCTTCCTCTTTTAAAATCAACACGAAACTACATAACTACCTACTGGATATGTCAAGAGAGAAAGCAATTCAGGAAGTTCTATGAATTTAGGAAGTGGATCTGATAAAGGGTTTTTCATCGGGTTTTCCACCTTCCGACGCTTTGTTTAAAATGAAGCACATAGGATGAATCCTGTTGATTGCTCGTAATTCCTAGTGATATTTGAGTTTTTTGTAACGCTGAGTTTCAGAATGAGGCTATATTTAATCGTTTGGAATGCGGTTCTCGTTGCATGTACCGCTTGTAATTTAAAAGATTCTATTGATGCATCTTCCGTTGTCGTCGATCTCCTTAATTCAGCCACAGTGCTACTGAATGACGCCAAGAAATATGCAAATAAATGTAGCAGGTAAGATTTTATCATTCTGGTGTGTGTAAAATTACTGTACATTTATTTATACAAGACAGAAAGTTTTATCAAATATTTTACTATATAAATTTTTAGATCGGCTTTTATATGCATGACTTATGAAGAATTCAATAATGCCCAAAATAATACTCTACTTTATATAAGAGGGAAGGAAATATTATTTTATTTTATTCCAACATACATTAACTAAATTTCTTATGGAATTTTCTAGCAATTCTCCAAAATAGTTTTCTGGGACAAGGCCAGGTTAATGTCATCATTCCCATCGGATGAATGTTATTGTCCTCTTTTTGACTATTAACTCTACATTGTCACCCGTCACGTAGATAATATTTTCAATTCAGCATTTCTCAACAAACGTGATAAATTTTATTCTAAATCTAGCAGAACAAAACGTTTTACCTCTATTTTTTTCAATGGAAATTGAAATGAATTACCATTAAAATTCAGCTTGTCTGATAAGTCTAGCTAAGTTAAATGATCTATTATTCGTTATTTTGGCGATATATATAGCGGATCTGTAGGATGATTTTAAGTTCGGGCAAATACAGTTTTCAGTTTTGGTTGAACTTCTGCAGCAATATCTTACCTTTCGAGTTACACGCGGATCGGCTGATATTCGTAAATACAAAGTAATTAAACTAATTTAAAAATTTTTAAGAGGGGATCCTCTTTTATATATCAAATGCAAATCCATTTTTATATGTCAAATCTGTTGCTGATACGCACAGTGATTCATATGCAATAGATTTTGAGCGGATCAATGAATGCAAATTATCGAGAACTTCTGAAAAATTACTTTAAAAAATGTTGAATATAGGCGCATTACATTATGTAATGGAAGCTATTGTTCATATAGCAATGAATATTTTTTAAGATATTGCATAGTGTCGCTATCAACCGCAGCATACATATTTCTGAACTCATTGTTAAGGAGCGTCCCTAAATTTTCGAGTGCCATAGCTAGAAACAAAATTTCTTAAAAATAAAAAAGAAACAGATTTAGAGACTTTCACATCTTCCGAAGTAAAAGACATAAAAAGTAACTGTGTTCTCGTCCAAATTCGAACGAGGAATTTTCCAGCTGCATGTTGGATGTGGTAACTACTTACACAACGAAAACACGCACGGAGGATTAAGATAACTTGCTAGATTTTCCTTCATTTAAAAAGCGACTGAAGAGAGACACGAGATCTATTGGATAAAATTCAAGGGGTGACGAATTATCGACCACTACTATTTCCTTCGGGAGCCATTATAGAGATCAATAGATTTTCGAAATGAATGAATATGTAGATATATATATATATATATATTTGACATGAAATATCAATTAAACACTCGTCAGTTATTAAGCCAAGGATCTTCCGATTGCTAAGGTGCTGATCACTTACACCCAGAAAGCACGCATGGGGGGAATGGGATAATTCCTTGAACATATATATTTTTAAAAAAAATCTGTTATAAAATATTGCAGTTTAAAAACATCACATCACAGTCTAACTTTCGAACTTTTTGTAAGGGATTATCGTATTTTTCCGTGCTTGCTCGCGCATTATCGTGGAGATAATGAATTTCTAACTGAAAGGATCTTTTCTGAATTCTTTCTCTCTCTTTCAGTTGTACAGATGCAGAGTTAACTTTAAATAAGCCGATGGATTGCGCTGAGATAAAGATGAATAATAAAACTTCGAAAAGTGGCATTTATAATATTTGGCCAGCAAACAGAATCATCAAGACTTCAGTGAAAGTTTATTGCGATATGGAAGATGATAATGGAGGATGGACAGTAAGTAATCTTCATCATAAGTGCCAAATATTTTAATATTTTAACACTTAAAAACAAGATTTTACTGTTATGTAATCGGGAGTAAGCGCAATTAATTATGCACAGTGTTCTAGGAAAGCACTCACCTGGCCTTTATTTTCGTAACTATATACATATATATGCTATATTTAAATATGGAATATTTATAAATATTATATAGCTGAGGTTCATAAAAATAATAAGTCCACAAAATAAAGCTACTATCATATAAAAATAATAAGTAGTGTCCGGAAGCTACAAAATCGCTCATTGTTTAAACAGAAATTAATTTACATCCTAAAGAGGGTCTGACGGAGGAAGAAAAAGAAATAAACATAAAAAATAAATGTGTTAGCTAAAAGAAATTTTATAACACTACACTCTTAATTTGAGCTTTAAAAAAAGTAACAATAATAAGTGTTTATGTGTTAATGCATGTTGAAAATAAAGAAATTTTTTCTTTTTAATTTCTGCGACATCGAATCTAGAACAAAAAGTGCGGAAGCTGCACATATAAAATTACAAATCCTTCTTTTATATTTCCATTTCACACATAGCTCAGTTATAACTTATACATAATCAACTACCTGTAGGTAATCCAAAGACGAGGTGATTTTGGCAGTGCAAAAGACTACTTCTACCGTGACTGGGTTTCATACAAAAAGGGATTTGGAGACCTCATGAAAGATTTTTGGCTCGGTAAGTAGTACCATAACATAAAAGTTCAACAGTTCATTAATTTTGGCTTAGAATGCATACTATCTCTTCCTCCTGAGAAAAACTTTTTAGAAGCTTCATTCGAGTATGAGAGTGTTTTGATTATGAATCAATATTTCTGCATTAATTTCTACCGGCGTAACACGTTATCAAGAGTATAACATGCTGTTTTATAGCTCTTTGATTATAATTTTTGAGACAGAAAAATGCAGAAATATTGATATATCTTATAAAAATTATTATGGGCCTATTTGGTGATCTACGTTTTTTTATGCTATTCTTGCATGTTATGGTTTTTAGAAATGTCCTTAATAACTAATATTATTGAAATTCTCAACAGCTCATGGAGCAAAATAAACAGCTATAAATATCTCAAAGAGAAAAGCAGACATAAATAAAATTCTCCTCAACACACTGAAATATCGCTGATCACTAAAATTATTGCAGACCAAAGTCTAAAGCAATAATCATCCAGCTGGTACTCAGTAAACTGAATAGCTAAACCCCTTGCTCCAGCCCACCTGTATAGGGTTGCCTAGCCCTTCTGAACGCATCGGTGCACCACTAGGAGGAACAGCTTTCCTCTTTACTTTGTAAACAAACAGCTTAATTACCCAACCATCAAGCCTGTAATCAGAGACACAGCATAAGAAAGAGAAACATCGGAAAGTTGAATAATGTCAAAGGAAAGGGGAAAACAATATATGGTCATGAGATATACAACCACGGGCTATAGCACTGAGGAATAATTACTACAGATAACACATAAACTGCACACATTCTAAGAATGAGTAGCAAAGGAGGTAGAATTTATATACGCTACCAAAGAAAAATAAATGCTAAGCAATTTACATAAATATGCAATATCAACATTGAATATATACCCAGATGAAAGCTCCATCATACAGATTAAAAAGACCAACAGAATATAAGTGTACAGGAATACCTCGCTTAGTACTATCAATTGGTTATTTTAAAGTATCTCAATCAATGAGTAAGCAAAAGTAAAAGCGCTAAACGTACCTAACCGCACTAACGTGAAACATTATCTACATGAAAATTAGTAATTCGTGCCTATCAAATTTTGTGACAATAAAAATACTTACGTATTTACCTAAAATTAATGGAAAATAATAAAAGGACTAAAAGTACGGTATTTAATAGAAGACTTTTATTGTTTGTTTGCAAAATAAAAAATCTGATGTGTACACCACATGACTTCCTTGTACGGAATATTAAATTATACGCATTTTTTCTTGCATTTTATTTAAACTTATTAGATAGAAGTAAACCTACTTCGCCGACAGCGCATAAACCCCAATAGAATAAATGCATTCTTTAAAATTCACTTTGTTTACTATAGCGACACTCTGGCGCTAGGTTTACTTAACAGTATTATATTTCGTTCATATTATAACTCAGAATGCACAAAATGTATATCATTTAAAGAATTATCTAATCGTTGCCACGTGTTCTATTCAAATACTATAAAAAAGCTAGAACGATGTATAAAAGAAATTAAGCAAATAAAACAAAAAAGAAACAGTTTTTCACAGACGATTGAGTATTTCTCATTTAATTAATTCAGTTCTTACTTCGCGAGAAGGCAAAAATACATAAAAACTCAAAATATCTGTATTAAAATTTACGAAGTAAATTTCAAACGATGATATCCTCGAAAAAATTCCAGAAAGAATTAAGCATGATTTAATTGGCAATAATAAATGAAGGCGTTATCTTTGTTGTTGCGAAGCTAAGTTTCTCTAGATTGGCAACAAATCCACTAGTCTGCTGTTTCAAATGTAAACAATCAATGGCCGCCATAAAAAGGATTATGCTTAGCGGCAATTAAACAACTTTAAAATTGCTGATAATTCTAAAAATATTGCACACAGATTTACTAAAGGCATAAAATCCTTAACCGGAAGATAAAAACAATATAATTCAATCATTTTTAAAGAAAAAATGTACAATTTACAAACATATAAGAGTAAAGAAACTGAGATCACTGAGCCGGGTAATAGAGTGGATATATATATAAATATATTTATATACGTTTGGTGCTGTCGATTGCAACTAAAATACGAGGTGCACATCTACATGTTATAGCAGTCCTATATACAAAATTTCAACGTTCTGAAGCTACTCGTTTTTGAGTTATGCGAGATACGTACATACGCACGTACAGACGCCACGAAAAATTCCCTTCAGAATTAATTTTAAAGCAGTTTTTTAATTTTTTTGAAGGAAAAGAGTATTTCATTCTGTCCTTACGTACAGATATGATGCAAAAACATCGTTAAATCGCATTCGATAGCGGTCAAAATGGATATTTTCGTTGAAATATGCTGCCTGAAACTTTTCGCGATTACAATAAAAAGAAAACCATTATTTTTTAATCAGAAAAATCAATCCCCATTTCACAAGATTTTTGCACTATTTCCCCCCTCCATTCATTATATGATAAAAACGAATTTGCATTTTCTAATCTTCGCCTTATTTCAAGGCTTCTTTTTTCCTTCGGATCATTTTCTTCAATCAGTTCCCATTCTTTTCCAATGGCATTAAATAATTCTTTGTAGATTAATTCCAATGTGAATTTTTTCCTACTTGTACATTTTCTTCCGGTTTTACTTTCTTCTTTATACGCCTGTTCTTCTTCTGTTGGGATGTGAGATTCAATATCAAAAGGCTGAGATTCCGTTCGAATGCAGTCCATGACACTGGCAGCATCCAATGAGTAAAAGCCTACATAATATCCGAATTTAATGGCATTTGCTGAGATACTGAAATAACCATTTGGTTATTTCAATATAAAGAGTAATAGAGTAACGGTCACCAAAAGCTATTTAAAAGCTCTGAACTTATTTCTTTTATTTTTAGTAAGAGAACAGAACCCTATTGAACAAAATCAAATGAGTTTATTAACCTAAAACCCTATTTTAGCCTAAATTTCAACAATGCTATTTTTAAGATATTAATAACAAATATTCTTGATTTTTAAAAATTAATATGTAGTAAAGAAATTTAACAGTAAGCAAATTTTTATATAATAAAATTTTCGACGGTCGGCAGATTATAAATAAATGCAATTCGATCCAATTTGGGTTACTTGATATCAATTTTTCTAATAGGTAATGATAACACTTTTGCCTTGACGAATGAAAGAAGCAATCAAATCAAAATTACGTTAACTGACTGGGAAGGCAACACAACTTACGCTATTTATGATGAGTTTTGGATAGATGATGAATATCATAAGTACGCTGCTCATGTAATGGGATACAGAGGAACGGCTGGTAAGTAAATGAATTTACTTTTATTGAATTTAAAATTCATTGAAAATTATTATAATGAAAGGAAATAATAAATCGAAGATTTTACCCTGCATTACATATTTTTCTTTAATTAAAATGAAGCTATATAACAATTGCATGAATTTACAATATTAATTTAAGTTCGTAAAAAAAACCGTTTTCGAGTATTTTAAATTCAAATATTTTAAATTTTAAAGTCTGACTGCTTTAATCGACTTGCTTTTTGAAGTTTTTGAGTTTTTCTTTAAAACTGATAATTTTCTTAATGAAGCTTCTAACGAATTAAATTAGGTCAGGTACAAGTTTTATGGTTATAAATACCATGAATTTGAAGTTTATACTGAATTACGTTTAGAAAAAAACATGATATAAAATAATACAAGGTAGAGAGGAAGAGGAGGATATAGGCATACGATTCTATGCGATTCAAATGTTGAAAACTTGTGAACCAACTGAAGCAGATTAATTTTAGGTATAAATTGACACTAAAGAAAATGCAATGGTTTCTTTTACCTGTACTTTGGAATACAATAATAAAACTGAATTATTTCAAGATAACAGCAATATATTTTGTGACACAAAAAATAAATATCTTTACATGATCAAAAGTATAAATAGTTTTCTAAAACTGTTGAATAATGAAATCATGAGTTAATTTGTAATGACACACAAACACACACAAAAAAAAAAAAAAAAAAAAAAAAAAAATCAAACAAACAAATTAACAAATTGTCAACAAAGTAACTAAATCTCAGTTTGAAAAATCGAATATAAATATGTAAGAGGCAAACTATTCAAAATATCTTGGAGTTATACTAAATTCTAATTTCACCTTACCTAACCCTATCAGAAATATCAGAGGCAAAACTCTGCAAATTACTTTCAAATTAAATTCTCTGCTTTCAAGTACATCTGGACTCGGTCTAAATAGGAAAAGGAGAATTTGCACTGACGAGCACAAACATTATGACCATCCCCAAATTTTTTAGTTTGAGGACAGGTCATTAAGTGGGAATATTACTTAACTGCTTCTGGACAAGATTAAGGAATCATTCTTGCACTTGCTTTCGCGAGTAATGGGAAAGGGTGCTGATATAAGCGAACTTGAAACAGTACAGATTGTAATGGCCCGAAGACTTGGAACGAGTATCTCCGAGATTGCAGCACGACTGGCAGATTGTTCACGATCATTAATAATAACTTCACCCTCTTGGTACAGAAAAATCGGCGCCAGATAGTGGCTCATCTGACAGCCCATTACAATGCAGGCCCAAATGCAAGTGTTTCGGAACATAACCATACCCACACCACATTGTTGAATATGGGATTGTGCAGCAGACCTCCCATTCGTGACCAAGCGTCATTATCAACTGCGGATACAGTGGGCCCGGACACATCGAGTTTGGCCCATGAATAAGTGAAAGACAGTTGTCTGGTTGGATGATTTCCGTTTTCTCATACATCACGTTCATGGTTCTGTCTGGAATCGCAAACTTTCGAGTGAACATTTGTTCCCCCTCCGTACAGCAGGTCATACTCAGCCGCTTGTGGCGGTATTATGCTAGTCCATTTTTACAATTTTTGAGAAAAGAAGGGAAAAAATTACTTACGCTTTGATAAGCTAATTTGGAATTAATCCTGCCATCGCGCCGTTTACTGACATAAATTTCTTAAATAAAAATGACGCCAAATAACGTCTTATTCGCACGCAGTGCCATTCATTTGGTTTAATACTGAATGCCATTCCACAAATGACCTCGTCAATTTTACATGAAAAAATTCTTGTATTTAATTTAAAATTTTCTTGCAGGTGATTCTTTCTCTGGTGTAAACGGGGTTCCATTTAGCACCAAAGATCAAGATAATGATACTCACGAAGGAAGTTGTGCAGTCTCTTATAAAGGAGCTTGGTGGTATACAAAATGTCACTCTTCCAACCTCAACGGATTTTACTTGAAAGGACCACATGAATCTCATGCTGATGGCGTAGAATGGCATGGATTTAGAGGGCACTATTACTCATTGAAAGATACTGTTATGAAAGTACGTTCCATAGATTACCAAACAACAGGAAAAGGCCGAACTGATATTACACCACTGTAGGGAAAAACACGCTTAAATCGTGTTTAAAATTTCTATTGATGTCCCAGCATTACAAGAAGAAATGCGTGATATAATCATTGCTTTTGTTATCATTGTTATAAAAAGATCACAAGACTGTCTTATTTAGGATTATTATTTTTAAGTTATTTCCTGTTGCAATTTATGTAAATAATAAAATAATTCATTTTATTTTGCATTGTTTTTGTAATATATTTCTGTGACTAAGGTGATAAAAGAGTTTCTCATAAATGAAAAATTAAGAACGTAAGAAAAACAAATGCTTTCTTGGAAACAAATCATGAAGGATCCCAGTATACAATGCATCTTTCTCTACCTATAGTACATTATTAGCACCTGCCATATTTACTTCCAAGAATAACATATACTTCAGCCAATGCTCTATTTTCTTTAAAGATCTTGAACGAGACTAGATAGTTAACTGAATTTTTCAGTATATTAGTTTCAAAAATGCTTGATAGCAGTAAGAAATAATATCTTCATTGTCAGACGAAACATTTCATAGCTTTAAGAAACAGAGCAAAGTGAATAAATTAGTTAAGCCGAGTAAGTATTAGGTAAGTTCAAAACCTATTACAGCAATATATTTTTGTGCATTGACAAAGATTTCTACTTAAGCGAAACGTTGATTGTTGTTTCATTAAGCCCGTGTTCAAATCCTATTTTCTAAATCCAAATTGAATTCAGTTGTCAACAGGATTGATCTTTATTCATGCTGGCCTTAGGTTACGTGATGTCTACGACAAATAAAGGAATAAAGTGTTACGAAGTTTGTATATTGATTGATGATTTTAGTGCAGTTATATGCGAAATTATTGTATTTGTCTGTGTAATGTTACGTGAAAAATTTAGAGAGAGAAGATATGCCGGAAAAGTAAGAAAACAGGAGCTTGCAGAAACCGTAGTTCGACCCTCGTATTGCTTTCCAGTAATTTCGAGAAGCAGAAAATGTTAGAAATATCTGTGCGACGGAATGAAAACTATATAAGGCCGGAGAGAGAGCATCTGCTCTTAGTTGTTTAGTTTGTAACATATTTGCGTAAATTCTGACTAATAAAGTTTGTTGTTCATTCAAAAATGGCAAGAGTTCTTTAAAACTTCATTACAAATATCTGATGGGAGTCGCTGGGATCGAAAGGTGAAACCAGTGTTTATTTAAACGAAAAGAAAATACAGTACTTGTGAGTATAAGTTTTAATGAATACTGTGCCATTTTTTATGAAAATGTTGCATCTTATTATTGAATTAAACTAATAGAACGATATTCTATGTTTAAGCTTTTGTATTAAAGCGTCAAAATATTTAACGTTCTCTTGTATTAGAGTGGCAAATTTATTACGTTGATATTAGAATATTTCTATTATAAAATTTGAGCTCTTGTATTAGAGTGGAAAATTTATTACGTTAATATTAGAATATTTCTATTATGAAATTTGAGCTCTTGTATTGGAGTCGCAAACAAAGAATTTTCTTGTGTGAATCAAGTTAGAACCTTGAATTCTTTTTAATTTATATTAGTATAATTTAATAAGAGCAAGCTACGCAGATTTTTGTTTATCGGAAAGCACATAAGTTTTATTGCATTAAGTGTTTTAGAAAAAAAAAAAAAAAATACGTTGTGTCATACTTGAATTTCTAATAAAAAATTCTGATGTGTACACCATATGACTTCCTTGTACGGAATATTAAAGTATACGCATTTTTTCTTGCGTTTCATTTAAACTTATTGGATTGAATTAAATTTACTTCGCCGACAGCGCATAAACCACAATAGAATAAATGCATTCTTTAAAATTGACTCTAGTATTTGTTTACCATAGCGACACTCTGGCGCTAGATTCACTTAACAGTATTTAAATTTCGTTCATATTATAACTCATAATGCACAAAATTTATATCATTTAAAAAATAGAATTATCTAATCGTTGCCACATGTTCTATTCAGATACTATAATAAAGCTAGAATGATGTATAAAAGAAATTAAGCAAACAAAACAAAAAAGAAACAGTTTTTCACAGACGATTGAGTATTTCTCATTCAATTAATTCAGTTCTTACTTCGCGAGAAGGCAAAAATACATAAAAAACTCAAATATCTGTATTAAAATTTACGAAGTAAATTTTCAAACGATGATATCCTCGAAAAAAATTCCAGAAAGATTAAGCATGATTTAATTGGCAAAATAAATGAAGGCGTTTATTATCTTTGTTGTTTCGAAGCTACGTTTCTCTAGATTGGCAACAAATCCACTAGTCTGCTGTTTCAAATGTAAACAATCAATGGCCGCCATCAAGAAAAGGATTATGCTTAGCGGCACTTAAACAACTTTAAAATTGTTGATAATTTTAAAAATATTGCATAGAGATTTACTAAAGGCATAAAAATTTTAACCGGAAGATAAAAACAACATAATTCAATCATTTTTAAAGCAAAAAGTGTACAATTTACAAACATATAAGAGTAAAGAAACTGAGATCACAGAGCCGGGTAACAGAGTGGATATATATATATAAATATATTTATATACGTTTGGTGCTGCCGATTGCAACCAAAATGCGAGGTGCACATCTACATGTTATAGCAGTCCTATATGCAAAATTTCAACGTTCAACGTTTCAACGTAAAAAACTCCTGAAAAGTCTTGGTGAAATTATGCTCATGAACTTTACAGTTATTTTTTAGATTGGATTGCGGATTTAGAAATTAAGATATTTGAAAATCTGAGAGATTTAATAGTTACAGAGCAAATTAAATATAGCGTTTCCATGGAAGTAATGGATCATTTTATCGACCAATGGATGATATTAAAAACTCCATATGAGCTAGCAGAAAAATTAGACGAGTATGAGAGTATTAAACAGAGCTTTAAGAGGGAAAATCCTAGAAAACAAGGTTTGAAACTTCAAGAAAGTTATCAAAACGTGAACAAAATGCAAAGTGGTTATCATAATAGACATAATTCTAAAGAAATCTCGAAAGATTTTAATCCTAAGTTTATAATTAAAACAGAATGTACTAATAAAATTCATGAAAAGGAATTTGAGAAACGGAGACAACCTTGTTGTTATGAATGCGGATCCTACTCGCATCTTCGACCTCAGTGTAATAAACTCAAGAAAAATTTAGAAACTGTAGCATCCAATAAAACTGTACCCTCAAATGAATTTTCCAAAAATAGTTTTAAGGATATTATGGCGCTCCATATAGCAGCCTAGGTAAAGTAAATGGCTATAAAATGGCCATACTTTAGAGATACCGGTGCAACTTTGGATTTAATTTGCCAAAAGTATGTACAGCCTTCCATGTATACGGGTGAGACCGTGTGGATACGAACACTTCTGGAAGAACATCCAGTGTGCTTATCTTTGGCTGAGGTAGACCTTGAATGTGATCTTGCTCATATAATAATAAAAGCTGCAGTCTTAAGAGATTCAATAGATCAAGGAAGGTATCTTCTAGGTTACAAAATCGCTGCATTATTTGAAGATCAAAACTAGATGAAGTTCAAATTCATATGATAAACGCCATACAAACTCGTGCTCAACAGCGACGTTTAAAAGAAACTGAAAATATGGTCTCAATAAATGAGTTAAACTCTGAAATTGAACTTAACGATAAAGACACATTGACTGAAAATGAAAGTTTGCCTCTTGTGAAATATGAAAGTTCAGAATTAGATCTGATAAAGGTCTCTCCAGAAATATTTATACAAGAACAGAAGGATAGGGTCGAATTGAAGCGGATTTATGAAGAAGCTAAAATAAAATCTAAGAGTACGAGGTATATGTTGAAAGGCCAAATGCTCTTTTTCAAAAACGAAACTCGTGATCGAACACAAAGACTATTGATTGTTGTTCCTGAGGAATACTGGAAACAGTTGATGACTATTTGTCATGAAGAAACGGCAGTTCATCTTGGTGCAATAAAGAGCAAAGATGCATTATTCAAAAATTTTTATTGGCCAAATTCTTACAAAGATGTTGAGAATTTTGTTAAAACTTGTGACAAATGTCAAAGAACTGGAAAGCCGCAAGATAAAAAGAAAGCACCTTTGAAAATTGTCCCTGTTATCACAGAAAAATTTTCAAAACTAAATGTTGACGCTTGTGGGCCTCTGCCCATGACACTTTCAGGAAATAAGTATCTTATAACTGCAATCTGAATGTCTTCAAAATATCCGGATGCAGTTACTGTCGCAAATCTTTGTTTAACCACGATTGCTGTTTTTTTCCTTCAAATTTTTAGTCGAATGGGATTTCCAAAGGAGGTCCGAAACGACTAAGCTACATCTTTCACGAGTGTGCTGACATCGAATTTCCTAGAAAAATTCGGAATTAAAGTTGTACGAAGTTCTGTTTACCACGCACAAAGCAATCCTGTAGAGAGGATGCATGGAACTTTAAAAAGAATTCTTCGAGTCCTACGTCTAGAATCTGGTCCGGACTGGGATAAAATCTTACCTCAGGCTTTATTTGATCTTTGAACGACTATTCACAACAGTACCGGTTTCTGGCCCGCAAAATTAGTTCATGGCAAAAAAACAAATGCTTTCTTGGAAACAAATCATGAAGGATCCCAGTATACAATGCATCTTTCTCTACCTATAGTACATTATTAGCACCTGCCATATTTACTTCCAAGAATAACATATACTTTAGCCAATGCTCTATTTTCTTTAAAGATCTTGAACGAGACTAGATAGTTAACTGAATCTTTCAATATACTAGTTTCACAAAGGCTTGATAGCAGTGAGAAATAATATCTTCATTGTCAGACGAAACATTTCATAGCTTTAAGAAACAGAGCAAAGTGAATAAATTAGTTAAGCCGAGTAAGCATTAGGTAAGTTCAAAATCTATTACAGCAATATATTTTTGTGCACTGACAAAGATTTCTACTTAAGCGAAACGTTGATTGTTGTTTCATTAAGCCCGTGTTCAAATCCTATTTTCTAAATCCAAATTGAATTCAGTTGTCAACAGGATTGATCTTTATTCATGCTGGCCCTAGGTTACGTGATGTCTACGACAAATAAAGGAATAAACGACTATTCACAACAGTACCGGTTCATGGCAGAAACTTAAGAATTCTAGTTATGCTATTGTACGAAACATGATCTGGTAAGAAGAAGAAGAAAATACAGTAGTGGAACTATATTTTTGAACTAATG